GTAAAAAAAGTGCGTAATATAAGGAAATGAGAAAAACAATGCACGATATGAATGAGACAATCACCAAAGTGATAGAAATCATAAAAAAGAATTAATCAGAAATCTTATGTTGTAGTTTAGATCTACAATGTCCCCAAAAGACTCATGTGTTCAAAGGTGGGGCTTTCAGAAGGTTATTGGGTCATGAGGTTGCTATATTCATCAGTGGATTAATCCACTAATGAGTTTATTGTTGAATGTGCTGTTGGGAGGTGGGTGCTGGTTAGAGGAGGTAGGGCACCAATGGTGTGGATTTGGAAGATATGTGTTTATTAAAATCTAGCTTTTTCTACTCTCTGCTTCAGTGCTCCCCATGAATTGAGCAGTCAGGCCCTTCCACCATGCCGTTTCCTCCTTGGAACCAGTCAACTATGGACTGAACCCACTGAAATGGCCAGTGGAAATAAACTTCTATTTCTTAAGTTAAGTGCTAGGTATTTTGTCCTAGTGATGTGAAGGCTGATTGATACAGAAAATGGGTACTGGAGAAGTGGATATTAGCTGTTACTATACCTAATGTGGTTGAGAAACCTTTGGAACAGGTTTTTAGGAGGAGTTTTGAAAGAAATGGGTTGAAGAAAGCCTAGAGTACTATAAGCAAAGCTTGATGAACAATTCTCTTGGGAGCTTGGATGACCAAAATGCTGATAGGAATACAGAGAATAAAGGTTAGACTTATGAGATTTCAGATGAGAATGAATACTCTGTTAGGAGTTGAACCGAGAGATCAGTTGTGTTGATTCTGGTAAACACCTTGTCCACATTTTTGCCCATGTCCTGAGACTTTTCAGGGGGCTAAATTTAAAGGTGATAGACTAATCAATCTGATGAAGGAAAATTTAAGGCAGCCCATTTTTCAAGTTGTGGCATGGGTACTTCTGAATGCTTTTTGCTAGATCTACAGTGAGAATCAAGAATAAAAAGCAGAGTCAAAATATGTGAAAAACTTGAAGTTTGGCCAGAAAGGAAGCCTTGTAAACTTGTGGCCATTGTCAGTGTAGTTGCTAAAAAGATTAGCACTGTTAAAAAGGAACCAAGTACTTTCCACCAGGCCCGTAGGAAAGAAGGATTAAGAGCATCTCAGGAAGTGGTTAGACCCAACTTATCATAAGATCAAAGGTGTAAAAGGGTAAATGCCTTTGAAAGATTTTTGGGAAGAGAATCTCATGGTGATGTACTCTCTTGAGGCCATCTATGAAGGTGTATTCTAAGTTCAGCCATCCAGACACCCAGAGGTTACTGCAAGCATAGTCATAGGGCATCCAGCCACTGTTCAAGTTGGCAGCAAGTCTTGGCATCATCCACACAGTGCTACTTTATATGCATGCAGAATACAAGAGTTATGAGGTCATGGAGGCTTCCACCCAGATTTTAGAAGAAGGCTGGTAGATCAGGAAATGGGGTGTGACAGGATTATAGTCCCTGCCAGGAGCCTCTATGAAGGCAGTGCTTGAATCTGTGAGAGTGAAGCCCAAGCTGCAATGGAGACTGCAGGAAGTTGCAGATGCCAAGAAAGTGGAATGCATGCTTAGAAAAGCTACATAGGCAGTGAGCAGAGACAGCCCAAGAGGGGGACATGTGGGCTTCAAATGGCAAGTCACAGGGGCAGGGCTGCCTAAGCCCTTTGGAGTTCACGTTTCAGTACTGCATGCCCTGGGTGCTAGACACAGAACTAGATACAGTACTTAATGTTTGCCCTACTGGGTTTTGATCTTGCTTTAGTCCAATTCTTTTCTATTCCTTTTTGGAGTGAGAATGTTTACCCTGTGCCATTGTATGTTGAGAGTATTTAACTTCCTTTTTTGTATTTTTACAGAAGTTCATAGCTAAGAGTTTGCTTTGAGTTTCAGAAGCACAGGCAGAGAAAGACAAATACTTCATGATCTAACTTACGCATGGAACCTCAAAGAGTTGAACTCATAGAACTAGAAATAGAATGATAGTTACCAAAGGCTTAGGGTGGAGGTTGAGGAGAGGTAAAAATGGGAAGTTGTCAGTCAAAGGGTATAAGATTTCTAATTTGAGAAAAAAAAAATTGAGATCTGTGGCACAGCAGGGTGACTAAACAACAATAATGTATGTTTTCAAAATAACTAAGAGAATACTTGTCTCATCATAAAAAATGACAGGTAATCAAGGTGATGGACACATTAATTTATTTGATATAGTAATTCTACGTTGCATACATATATCAGTACATCTCATTGTGCCCCATTAACACATAACTGTGATTTGTCAATTAAAATAGTATTGATAAAAGAGCAAAAAGGGCCGGGGATTTAGCTCAGTGGTTTCACCGCCTGCTGCGCAATCGCAAGGACCCGAGTTTGATCCCTGGTACCAAAAAAAAAAAAAAAAAGATTACATTTAAAAGAGCAAAAAAAAGCATAATAAGATACCACTTCACATCTATTGACATGGCTATTATCCTAAAATAAAAATATCAGACATTGTCAAGGATGTGAAAAAAATAGAAATCTTTGTTCACTTTTGGTGAGAATGTAAAATGGTGAGGGCTTTGTGGAAGATGGTGTGGTGATTTCTTGAAATATTTAAAAATATCATGGTCATCTGATACAACAATTTTGTTTCTAATATTTATCCAAATAAATTGAAAGCAGGGAGTCAAAAAGTCCTAGAATGTACATCACAAAGAGTGAACCTAACATAAACTGTAGACTTAAGTTCATAATGTATCAGTATTAGTTATAAGTTGATGGAAATGTACCACAATAACACAAGAGGTAAAGAGTAGAGAAAACTGTTTCTGTGGTGAGGTGATGGTATATAAGGGAATTTTCTATATTTTCTGCTATATTTTTCTATGAACCTGAAACTACATTTTGATAAAAAATTATTAAAAATAAGCAGTTTCCACCCAAACAAAGGAAGCAAAGGTACATATTTAAAGGGAAAATAAATTTGTTCATGTATATGCTTAGTTACTCCTGTAACCGTTACTCCTACTATGTCTACTGGAGTCTAGAGTTCTTTTACTTCCCCCACGGTATCCCTTGGATTCAATACCACTTGGAGTTACTCTGATGGTGAAGAATAATAGATAAACAATAATGTCTTTCAAGGTGTCATTATAGATACAAGAAAGAGAATATGAGTGTATCTGTAGGTTAACACCTAATTGCCTTAGTTAGATCCTTCTCCCTTGACTACTTCAACCCTTGAGGCTACAAGTCACAAATCTTGGAAGGAACGGTGTCCATGCAACACTGTTCTGGCCAGTATAACATAATCAAAAATGTAGGGGTTTCTGAAAAATCTTTGTTTTCTAATCCAACTATTGAACCTTATTGTTCCTTTCCTGCCTGAAACAGATACTGAGAAAGGGAAGTGAAACAGCCATCTTGATGCCATGAGCTGAGGAGCATCAGGAGAGAGGCCTATATGTTGTTCATGGCTGATTGGAAAGGTGGCAGGAACCTTTTGGCATCATTCAAAGGCTAACCATGTTAGACACTTATTCCATAAGCATTTTTAAGCCAGTTTTAGAATTTTATGTTGTCTAAAAAAAGCCCAATTCTGACTGATACATATGTATAAACAATTTTTTAAATGTGAGAATTGCACTGAGCTACAATGATGCTTCTCATGGCATTTAGGTAGATTTTGGTAGCACAACATTAGTTATCTAAAGATGCTAACTGATTGTTTATAGTAGATGACTAACCACAATTATCTCTTACCACTTTAAAAGTGGTCATATCGGCCAGGGATTTAGCTCAGTGGTTCTGCCACCTGCCTTGCAACCACAAGGACCTGAGTTCAATCCCTGGTACCAAAAAAAAAAAAAAGTGGTCATATCATCAGAAGAAATAAATGTAGACTCTGGTTCCAGGAGCTTGCCTCTATGGAATTTTTTTGGGTGGGGCACGTGGCACATGGACCAGGGTATGGCCTGAAGATTAGCCTTCTGCATACGGCAGTGCCCTTTTCAGGTCTCTGAGCTTTGAAAGCTTCATTTTTAGATAGCATCCTTTCTGGCATTATACAAGGTGATGTATGGTCTCTGATGTTTTATAGTCTTTTATGAAGCTTTGCAAAGTGACCTTGGTGAAGATTTAATGAATCTTAGAGGTCTAATTATTAGTTATGTAAGGAATTTGAAATACAGGAATTTCTGTCTTAATTCCTTTAAATTCTGATTATAATTTGCTTGTGAACATGTATGTGTAGGTAATTTTTTTGTTTTGTTTTGTTTGTTTTTGTTTTTTTGGTACCAGGGATCGAACTCTGGACCTTGCACTTGCTAGGCAGGCGAAAGAACCACTGAGCTAAATCCCTGGCCCTATGTGTTGGTAATTTGAAGGAACTGGCTAACTGCTGAAATCACTATATTAATTATTTTTCTTACAAGTTTTAGTACCATTTCACAATTATCTTGTTTTAAGAAATGGGCCGTAAGTTCTAAAATATTAAAGTCTTTTTCCTTACTAATGTAATTCTAATTGTTTTTTCCTCCTATATATGTCTATTCATTTTTTTTCTTTGAAAAATCATTTACTATTTTTGTCTGTTAGAAGCTAGACCTGAGAGTAGAGCCTCAATTTGAAAACACTCAAGTTTGTATGTTCTCAACTAAATTAAATACACTTAAGCCCAATCTGATTGTTTGCAAAAACAATAAAACATGCTTTAAAATCTATCAGGAGAGACCAAGTTTTGTGGCTCTATGTATACAGGGTCTAACTGTTAAGATCAATAAAAGTCTTTTGGTCTATTTTCTGTAACTAGTGTTAGGCATTGTATTAAAGTCTGTTATTTTTTGTGTTTAAAGTGATAAAAATTTTACAGTAATTTTTAAATTAACAACACTAAAAAGCAATAATGTAATAAGACTAATAGAAATGACAAAAGACTTGCATAAAAATATTATTAAACAGAAATAATATAAAGAATATTTTATACAAAATGAAAAATCCAAATATTAATATTGATTTCTCATAGTCCAGTAATCAAGGGAACCAGAAAGAAGCGTCAGAGAAATATCATCAAGAATATATGTGGAAATTTGATGAGATATACACCATTAACTTCATCTCAGCATGATTTAGCAATAGATCTTCTGGTACAACCAACTTGGCAACATTTCTCACTCATTGACGTATCAAACTGTCTTTTTTTTGGTGAATGAGTATTCAACCCTAAGTATTTTAATACAGAATGACTATCATCTTCTGCTTCATATTGTCTGTTATGAATAGTTTTCTTAAGCTCTTGAAATCCAACATTTGAACGCTTTAATGCAGGTACATATTGTTGTAGCTGTGGTAATGATGGCTGGCTCTTGGACAGTGCTGCCTTCAACTCTTGTGGCAAATTATGAATGAATTCCAACATATTTTGGGAGTCTGCATCTCTGTTGATAGAGGATAGCATGGTTTCTGTTAAGTTAAAAATGGAGAGAGGGAGAAAAATATTTATGTCAAGGAGCATCAGGAAAATTACAAATGTTTGCATAGTCAAAAAGGAAAGCATTAACTCAATAAAATTAAACATTGACACAGAATCAGCAAGCATACTAATATCTAAATAACTTACCTTGTTTATAATTGGTCATCTTAAAGTATTATAATCTTTTCAGCATTCTGTTTTACTCTGTTTAGTCATGTCATATTTCATCATCCCCTCATTGCTTTTTATCATAATACTATCATTCCTTGACATTGATCTCTTATTTTTGAGATGTCATTTTGGTTATTGAAAACACTTATTTTGTGTACAGATTGATTTATTTTTACCTGAGTCATTTTCTTCATGGCTAAGTAATTTCTGAGTTATAATAGTAACCATTGCAAAGGATTTTAAATAGTTTAAGCTATCAAATGTTCCGTGGTGGCAAGTTAACTGACTTCAAAATAAAATTGAAAAGGCCAAATTTCTAACAGCTCTGGTAAATCAGCAGAGGCTACAAATCTCTGATATCACTCAAACATCTAGAAATTTCTTTTTCCCAGAGTACTTATTCCAAGATAATAGTGTTTTATATTAAAGAGAGAAATGGGTTAAAAGAACGCCAACCACAAATCATGGACTTCCAGGAGAAGTTAGAATCTGTGGTGTGTGTATACTAACTAGTGTACTTGTGTATGGTATGTGTTCCAGAGGTATAGACCATGCACTATGGCAGTAAATATTAAGGTTGGAAACTGGGTTTGGAACCTGCTGGAACCAGCTGACATCTTTCTTCTTCTTTATACTCATTCAGTTTAGTTGAACATTCACTGACTATTTCCATGTGTCTGATACTGCCAACTAGGAGACTGAAATAAAAGAAAAACTTTCCTGCCCTCAAAAAACTTGTCAGTCACATAAAGTGTCTCCTAGCTTCACCCATCCCAATTAATTTGAGAGTTAGCACACAAAGAAATTAGAAATATAGGTGAAATTTTAATTATAGGGTAAACCTGGATCAGTTCTTGCTGCTCCTCTTCATGGACAGCAAAATTGTCCTTCAACTTATTAATAAGACATTATTACTCTTGAAATAATGCAAACATACTGAAAGATATGTCTAAGTGAAGACAGTGGATACTTGGTTAGCCACAAATGAGATAAAACTGTTCCTTCACCTAGGCAGGGGTGGTTCTAGGGCTCTTCTATTTCCTAAAAAGTCCTGCAGCAAGAATTTAGTTATTCTTTAGCCACTATAAACTTCAGTTGTTGGAATTTGGCAGAGTAATAATATGCTATTACTTGTCTTTTCTCATAATGCTCTCTTTCATTCAAGTTCTATACTGGCAATGACAGATGAGATTTTATGCCATTTCTAGTTATGCCAGAAATTTTGGCATTTTCTTTCAGTAAGACTAAGTTTGACTTACCCTAGTTATTATAATCCTGTCCTTGCCCTTAATCTTTCTCTACTTGGGAATTTATTGAATGCTGAGAAAAGCTGATGTTAACTTTCTATACATTGAAAGCCAGTAAATGAATTAAACAGAACAGATGTAGTTTGTATTGTTTATTTATGTGCTGTGTGTTTTGCAGCCTTTTATTTTTAAATTTGGTTTGAAACATTCTGTAATCCACACTTCTGATTTATGGATTCCAGACTCAAATTTAATGTTCTAATCTATCTGAATTCAGACAAACACAGTACCTCTTAGTCACTATACTTTGGACTCAAATTCCAAAATATAGGCCTCTTCTAGTTAAAAGTATATCTTACTTTTAAAAGAGATATAATGAGTGCTACTTTAGCACAATTTTGGGGGTAAAATGGTTAGCTAATAGTTTAATAATGTAAAAGCAAATTTAATACATAATGATAGAGGTATGAAAACTCATATGAATCACAAATTACTGACATGTACTTCTAGTAAATCTGTACGTGCAGGCAGTATTTTGTTAGCCTGTTTCAAATTAAGTTATGTATTAGGTAGCGATATAGAAAGTCCTTTTCAAATATTTTTTAAAGCACAGGTCTCTTCTAAGCTAATGGAAATTTGGCCAAATATCTATATATGGATGTGCTCAGCAAACCATTTTCAACAACAATTTGGAAATAATCTAAATGTCTAACAGTGTTTCAATATACAGTCATGTGTCACTTAAAGAAAGGCAAATGTTCTAGAAATGTGCTGTTATTTTATTTTATCACTGTGCAAACATCATAGAGTATATTTACATAGTTCTAGATGTAGAGTTCAGCTATTTGACAGGGTCTCTTGAAGCAATCAATGGATGTGGTAAACAAGAGATGCAGGAGGTTACTGCCAGCATAACACAGCATCCTATTTTACAATATACTTAAAAAAAATTAGAAATACATCCTAAAATAATAAAAGTATACTAAGTATATAAACCAGTAATAATTATTTATCATCATTATCAAGTGTTATGTGCTGCATATAATTGTATTGCTTTACTTTTATACGACTGACAGTGAGGTAGGTTTGTATACAACAGCATTACCACAAACGTGAGAGTATGGTATTTTACTTTGACTTTAGCACACCTATATCACTAGGTGATAGGAAATTTCAGCTCAGTAAAATGTTGAGACCACCACTATAGATGCAATCTTTCATTGACTAAATGCTGTTATGTGGCACATGAATATATATGCAAGATGTATGGCATAGAATGCTATATAGAAAGTTTAAATTGGGTTTTATAGAATAAAATGATGAAAAACTGCTCATAGCATAATGAGAATTGAAAATGCAAAAGATAACATACTTATATTCAAATGTTAGCATTTATTTCCTTATTTAATATATTTTCATTTTCTCATATTCACATGTATTTTTCAAAGTGTTTAATATGTACTGGTGCTTTCCATTTTTCTTACTGTCTTTATGTATATTTTCCTTTCATATTAGTAGCAAATGCAGTACAATCTAGTCTTATCTAGTTTTTTAGTAAATTCCTAGACTGTGGTATTCTATTAAATTTATGTAAGAATTATGTAAAAACTGGCATTCAATAAATCAGTATCTAACCATGTGGAAAATTAAATAACTTTAAAATTATACTTTAAGTCCTATGAAAGAGAAGTAAATGTATGTTTTGTGCACAATAATTTTGCATGACTATGTATAGTATATAACCTATAAAATTTAGTTGTGGCTTATATATAGTATATAACCTATACAATTTCATTGTGCCTTGTCATAAATTATATATATGATATGAATGACTTAATTGTTGGTGATTGACCTTGCCTTCTCTGAATTTAACATGACCATAAACTGATTACACTAGCCTATCCTTTGTGGGTTTTCACTGCTATTGTAACTTAGCTTCCAAATTATCTTTTTTTTTTAATACCGGGGATTGAACTCGGGTTCTTGCGCTTGTGCAGCAGGCAGCGAAACCACTGAGCTAAATCCCCGGCCCCAAAATTATCTTTATGAATGCTTTGTAACTAACAAAAATATTTTTAAAGCCATTCCAGATTTGAGCTGTGGTCAATTCTGAGATCTTGGTTTAAGAATATATCTATTGCAGTTTTCAAAACTTGAAAGCATCAATGAAGTTTCCAAAACTTGAAAGACCTTCAGCTGTGATGGTCTGAAGGGCAAGGTTCCCTTCTCTCTGATCCCCCTCAATTTTCTCTTCAGTTCTCCTGTCACTTTTGTTTCTTTTCCCCACCCCACCCCACCTGGCCCCTTCAGATAAACCTAAAGACCCAATTCACCCAAGAAGTGGAAGGTACATTTAAAAAGGGTGTGTGTAGGCCTGCGGCGTGGAGGTTCTCCATGGAATAGGTCACATGGAGTAGAGAAGTTGTGAAATCTAAGACCCTCCTGTCTCCCATTTCAGGACGTCATAGAGGTCTCAGTGCTGCCGCATGCCCTTTAGCACACAAAGAGCCTGGGTAGCCAGCTCACTACCTCACTTTCTGCCCCCTTTCCTCACAACTCCATCCAGGTTCCCAGTTGCCACCACCCCAGCTATCTGGCTTGCTCAGCTTTTCCTCAGCAGTCCAGGAATGGTCCTGCCTTCTGTGGAGATTTTGGCAGCATCACCTCTTCTGTGGCTTCTACCTTGTTCAGACATCACTTCCCTGGCTGCCAGTGGGAAGAATAGCACATGCTATTCCTGTTCTGACTGGTTGGCAGACTGAGACCAGTGAGAAGTGCTGAATGGCAGGGCTGGATGGTGGTGGTTGAGGGGGAGAGTTCTCACCTGTGGATGGTCCAGATCCCCGAAGGCTCTCTTCCTCCTGGGCCAAAGCCATGGCTCTCAAAGAGAGCTTGCCGCAAATGTCTATCTGGGCACGGACTAATTCTCGGCCACATAGCTTAATAACTTCATCCAACCATCCAGAAGGTACCACTCCAGAAGTGGGGCTCAGCAGCAGCAGCCAAACTCCTAAGAGGTGGAAAGAGAAGAGGTGCAACATCCTGGACCTGGTGTCTGCTTCTCTGGGTATTACAGCCTTTGGAAATGGCTTCTGCTGTCCCCTCCTAAGCTGTACCTGTGTGCCTTCCCTAGGGTTCAGGCTGCTTTCCCTATCTTGCCCAACCAGGCTTTTATATCCTTTGGGCTGTCACTCAGCTCTTAAGTCAGTGGTGCTAGCTCCACCCTTTTCCATGTATCTCCATGGAATTCTCTTCCTCAGCTTTTGTTCATCACCCTCCCCATCTTTCCTTCTTTCCCCATCTTTCTATCCTTGGCCATCTTACTGATGTTTTTTCTTTTATGCTCAAACAATCATGCATACTGAAGTTTTTCTGTATTTGCAGCCTTCCTTTATCATAGAGTGAACTATGGCCATTACACTAAAAATCAACAAAAATAAAGTTAAGATCACTTATCATCTTACAATCCAAAGTTTTCTAGCATGAATATTTGCCACATAAGCTTCAAATCTAAATCAGATTATAGTTAAATAACATAGTACCTGATATATCAATCCTTAGGAAATAAAATTGGTGAATGGATAAATAGTTGGCAAGAGGGGAAAAACTGATGACTTTTAATCTGAATCCTAGTAAAAACATTAAAGTTTCCAGCAAAAGCACTGTCAGCTGTACAGTAATGTCTTGAAGGCACAACACATTTTCTCCATTGGACTTTCCTTCGACTCCTCTGTGAGATAGTTTGATTGTAACCAGTTAACTAAATAGTTTATTTTGAGATTATATTCTACATATACAGATATTGCAAAAGAAAGAGGAAAAAAAGAAAAGAAAAACTACCAGAACTCCACAATCCCAGAAAGAATATTTTGGTACCATGTTACAACACAAAAATTATATGTTCTTTTATTAGTCTATATTTGCTGCATTTGGTAAGAGGTGATTTTTAACACCTTCTAATTTAACTTAAAAAAATCAACAGTTTGATGTAACATGCATGCCCCTTGAACAAATCTTCTCAATGTACAGAAAACTTTTAAGTGCAAATAGGTTCATATTTTTCAATAATTTATTTGCTTGTGCTCATAATCCCAGATTAACTCACTTGGAAATAGAGCTATTGAGTAAAATACTTCTAATTTCTTCTTTGGTGATATTTCAACAGGGCTCAGTCAGCATTAGTCAAATATAAGGCATTGTGTAATTCTTAAATAAATAAATAACCAGAGCAAAGCTGTGGTTTGGTTAGAGGCATTATTCTTTAAAGTGATTTTCACTAGGAGAAGCAGTTTGGGCGAAGTTTCTCAATACTGAAATTTAAAGGTATTTTTGGGTCAACAGTTATTACCAAAATACTATATTTTCAAGGCTTTCTTCCAAATTAATTGCTCACTGGAAACTAAATTTCTACAGATGTTTTAATTTTTTGCTTTGCCTGTGTTTTATAGAGACCTCACAACTGTTCAGTGAAGTAGCCACTTTCATATTTTACAAAGGAAGGAAACAAAATGAGAGTGTTTATCCACTTTTCTAATGCAACTTTAGCCAGCACATACATGTGCCAGATGTGGGCTTACCTCACTATTAGCAGTAACAGGCAAATGCAGCCTTCATAGGCTTTATAGGTACAAATAAAAGAGATTTCTTCTTAAAAGACAAGCAAATAAACAAAAAAAGCCTTTTAAAAGAGAAATAATAAATGTATCCATGCATACAGCTGGCAAGTGCTGGAGCCAGGATTCTACTCCATGTCATCTAGATTCCAAAGCTCCCATTCTTTGGGAGTCCTGTTCTAATGAGAGTTATTCGGAATAATGAAGATTAATCCATACAAATCAATGTCTTGGAAAAAGTCACTGAAGAAACAAAAGCTTGGACTCTTGAAGCTTGTAAAGTGCTACTTGTGATTTCTCAATGTCTCTTTAAATAGCAGTATTCATATGACATAGTTTTTCTGGCCAGTACAGCCTATAGACAACTTATGGAGTTGGCTGGCAAAGTTTTTGCTTTCCTAATTCAAGCACTAAGCCTACTTATTTCCCCTTCCCTTCCTGACTGAAACAGACATTGAAAAAGGCAGATGAAACAGCCATTTTTGAGCCATGATGTAGAAAGCAACAGGAGAAAGGCCAAATGCTAATCATGGCTGACTGAAAAGATGGGAGGAGCTTATTGGCACCATTTAGTGCCTAATGTTGGATATATTGGATGCTTATTCTATAGACCCTTATCAGTCATGATAGTCACTGTTTTAGGATTTTCGGGGGGCAAGACAGGGACAAGCACAGGGACAGGGCACGGAAAGGGAGATGCAAAGAAAAAGAAAGAATAAATTTTTTATTAACGTGTAATTCTGTATATTAGTGTGGTACAGTGCAACATGTCCACACATGAATATAGCATACATAGATCATCAGGGTAATTAGCATTTCCCTCTCCATATAATTTATGTTTAGTCTTTGAATTCCTCTTGTCTAGATCCTTATAAAATATATTAGTAGATTATTGTGAATTATAGTTATTCCACTGTGTTACATAACACTACAACTTACTCTGTTTACCCAACTGTGTTTTGGTGTCAGTTACCTAACTACCCTTACTCTCCACCCCACTTCCCAGCCTGTAACAATCACTATTCCAATCAATCACACATTCAGATCAACCGTGTTTTAGCTCCCATATGTAAGAAAGAACATGTGGTACTTGTTTTCTGTGGCTCGCTTATTTTTTTATTTTTTATTTTTGGTATTGGGGATTGAACTCAGGACCTTGCTCTTTAGAGGCAGGCAATGGAACCACTGAGCTAAATCCTTGGCCCTGGTTTGTTTCACTTAACATAATGTCCTCCAGTTTCATCCATTGTTCTATAAATGGCAAGGTTTCTTTCTTCTTTACAGCTAAATAAAATTCCATTGGTTGTATATGGCACATTTTCCTTACCTATTCATTCACCAATGGGCATATAAGTTGATTTCATAACTTGGCTGTTGTGAATAGTGCTGCAATAAATATGGATATATTCCCAGTATGATAGCTGGATCCTATGGAACATGTATTTTTAGTTTTTCTGAGGAACCTCCATACTGTTCTACATAATGGCTGTACTAATTTACATTCCCATCAGCAATGTATGAGAGTCCTTTTTTTTCCCCCCATTAACTTTATTGGTACATTTTAGGTATAAAATAGTTACATTCATCATTGGGATCTTGTACCATTACATGAGTCTCTTGGTTCTTATTTTTTTTCCCCTTCCCTTGCCCTCCCTTCACCCCCTCCACCCTTCCCTATTTGCAAAGACCTTGTTTCCATTTTTTTCTCTTCTCATATTTTTTCCTTTCCCTTTTTTCCCTTCCCCTACCCCTCCCAATTACCCTGCTCCTTTAGATCTTTTCTTCCTGTTACACAATATCAGTTATACATTTTTTAAATTACAATATTAGGCTCTAGGAGACATTACCACAGATTTTACAGAATTTAAAAGGATATAGAAAGCATATTACAAAAAATCTTTTTTGAAATAAATTTGACAATTTCTAAGAAGTACCTTGGAAGACAAATTAATGAAACTAACTCTGGAGGAAATATAACATTTGAATAGCACCTATTAAAGAAAGTATATTCCTAGCTTGAAAACCTATCTATATGACAACAGCAGGCTCATAAACATTTTAACTGATAAATTATATCAAACAATTAAAGCAGAAAAAAGAAGGAACACTTCTCCCCTCATTTTAGGAACTCAACATTGTGCTAACCCTAAAACTGGATAAAGATAATAGAAGAAAAAAGTATGAACATAGATAGAAATTTGTTTAACAAAACAAACTATTAGAAGTCAGATCTGGCAGGATGTAGAAAGTGGTTTTGTTATAGGGATGGCAGTGTTGGTTCAGCACTGGAAGATCCACCCCCAAAAGTCATCATTTGAGAGTCCCTTTTTCTAACATCCTTGCCATATTTGTCATTAGTCATTATTTTGTCTTTTGATAATAGCCATTCTTACTGGAGTTAAGATGTTATTGTAGTTTTTATATGCATATCCCTGGTAGCTAATGATACTGTTCATTTGTTGGCCATTTATATTTTTTCTCTTGAGAAATGTCCATAAAGATCATTTGCAGATAATTTTTTATTTTATTAGTACATGTTTGCAATTCATACAGTTTATAATCATCTTGGGGAATGGTTACATGTACATATTACAGCTTTTTTTTTTTTTTAAATCTCTTTCCCCTTTCCTCCTCCTTCCCCATCCTGCTCAGGTTCCTCTATCCCCTTTTTCGTACTTGTTAATATTATTTAATATTTAATATTATTTGTCTTAGTTCATATTATGGCAAATGGTGCTCACATTAATTGAAGTTATTAGGTTCTTGTACATGGCCTCTCATTTCCTCTTCCCCTCCTTCTCACCCCTTGCCCTTGTTCCCACTTCCTCGGACCACTTCCCTATTGCAAGAGATCCATACCCTTGTCTCTTTCTATCCCTTCTTTATCATTTTCTTTGTTTACATTTTGCCTCATGCAAATGAAAGATACCATACAGTATTTAAACTTGCGTGTCTGGTTTCATTCAACATTATATTTTCCAGATTTGCAGATCATTTTTAATTGATTTTTTTGTTGTTGTTGTTGAGTTTTTTTGAGTTCCTTATATATTTTGGCTATTAGTTCCTTGCCAGATACTTTGCAGATATTCTCTCCCATCCTGCAGATTGTCTCTTCAGTCTGTTGATTGTTTCTTTTCCTGTGTAGAAGCTTTTTAGTCTGATATAGTCCTAACTTGTCTATTTTTGCTTTTGTTTCCTGCACTTTTGGGATGATTTAAAAAGTCATTGTCTATACTGGTGTTTTCTTCTAGTAGAGTTCCATATCTTACTTTTAGGTCTTTGACCATTTTGGTCAAAAATGACCCTGTCATTTTTGTACAGGGTGAAAGATAGAGGTCAATTTCCATCTTCTGCAGGTTGATGTCGTTTTTCCAGCACCATGTATTGAAGAGGCAGTCCTTTATCTAATGTTATTGACACTTTTATTGAGAATCAGCTGACTAGTTATATGGTTTATTTCTGGGAGATTGCTTCTGTTTAATTAGTCTATTTGTTTTATGCCAGTTTTCATGCTGTTTTGATTACTATTATTCTGTAGTGTGTCTTGAAACTAGCTAGGTATTGTGATGTTTCTAGCTTTTTTTTATTCAAGATTGCTTTGACTATGCTTCCATATGAATTTTAGGATTTCTTTTTCTAGTTCCATGAAGCATGCTATTGGTATTCTGATAGGTATTGTGTTAAATGTGTACATTACTTTGGCTAGTACGGACATTTTGAATGGTTTATTTAAAATCTTACTATGTTTTGAAGTACTTTATTTTTATAAATTTCCCTCTTAGGACTGATTTTGCTGTTTTCCATAAATTTTGATATGTTGTGTTTCTGTTTTCATTTGTTTTTAGAACTTTGTTTTCTTTTCAGGTTGAAATTTTGTTGTTTAACATAATATTGTTTTAAGATATACAGGAAAAGAGATACAGTCAGTATTGAGGCATCATCAAACTAATAGAACACAATACAATTTTTTACTATTAACTAATAGAACACAGTGTATTTTTATTATGGTAAAACAGGGTGGATGGACACGATTGAGAAATTTTTTAATTTCCCTTTTGATCTTTTCAGTGACTCATTGCTTATGCAATAATGTGTTCTTCAGTCTCCTTGCATTTGTTACCATT